TATCTATATCTATATCTATATCTATATCTATATCTATATCTATATCTCCCTAAAAATTCTACCAGAGAACTCCTACAGCTGATAAACAACTTCAGCAAAGTGGCTGGATATAAAATTAACTCTAACAAAATAGTAACCTTCCCCTACTCAAAGGATAAATGGCTTGAGAAAGAAATTAATGGCATCTTTCACAATAGTCACAAATAATATAAAATGTCTTGGTATAACTCTACCCAAGCAAGTGAAAGATCTGTATGACAAGAACTTTAAGTCTCTGAGGAAAGAAATCAAAGAAGACCTCAGATGGAAGGATCTCCCTTGCTCATGGATTGGCAGGGTTAAAATAGTAAAAATGGCCATCGTATCTAAAGCAATCTACAGATTCAATGTAATCCCCATCAAAATTCCAACATAATTCTTTACAGAGATGGAAAGAGCAAATCTCAAATTCATCTGTAATAACAAGAAAACAAGGATATCGAAAACTGTGCTCAATAATAAAATAACTTCTGGGGGAATCACCATCCTTGACCTCAAGCTGTACTACAGAGCAATAGTGATTAAAAACCACATGGTATTGGTACAGAGATAAGCAGGTGGATCAATGGAATAGAATTGAAGACCCAGAAATAAACCTACGTGCCTATGGTCACTTGATCTTTGACAAAGAAGCCAAAATCATCCAGTGGAAAAAAGCTATCATTTTCAACATACGGTGCTGGTTCAACTGTGGTCAGCATGCAGAAGAATGCAGATTGATCTGTTCTTATCTCCTTGTACAAAGCTCAAGTCCAAATGGATCAAGGACCTCCTTCAGATACTCCGAATCTAATAGAAGAGAAAGTGGGGAAGAGTCGTGAACACATTGGCACAGGGGAAAAGTTCCTGAACAGAACACCAGTGGCTTATGCTACAAGATCAACAGTCAACAAATGGGACCTCATAAAATTGGAAAGCTTTTATAAGGCAAAGGACACTGTGAATAGGACAAAAAGGCAACCCACAGATTGGGAAAAGATCTTTACCAACCCTATATCCAATAGAATGGCTAAGATCAAAAACTCAGGTGAACGGATATAGAAAATACGGTACAGTTACACAATGGAGTACTATTAAAAACAATGACTTCATGAAATTCTCAGGCAAATGGATGGAACTAGAAAATACACTGAGTGAAGTAACCCAGACACAAAAGAACACACATGGTATGTACTCAACTGATAAGTGAATATTCGCTTAAAAGCTTGGAATGCCCATAATATAACCCTCAAACCATATGGAGCTTAAGAAAAAGGAAGACCAAAATGTGAATGCTTCAATCCTACATAGATGGGGGAACAAAATAATCACAGGAGGTAGAGGGATGGAGGGACTTGGGAAGGAAAGAGGAAGGGGAGGAAAAAAAGGGCAGGGTTAGGTATTGGAGAGTAGTACAGAGGGTCAGGAAATCGAACAGAAAAATGTAACAGTAGCAGCTGGGGAACTCAGGGTAGCCACTAGGAAGTTGTAGATGCCAGGAAAGCAAGAGGCTCCCAGAACCCAATGGGGATGACTTTAGCTGAAATATGAAACAAAGGGGGAGATAGAACCTGTAGAGACCACCTCCAGTAGATAGGCACAGCCGTCAGTTGAGGGATGAATTGGGGCCACATACCCATCTCAAAACTGTTAACCCAGAAATGTTCTGTCAATGTCACTGTCAGAAGGACAGTATTTTAGGGTTTTACTGCTGTGAACAGACACCATGACCAAGGCAACTCTTATAAGGGCAAAATTTAATTGGGGCTGGCTTACAAGTTCAGAGGTTTAGTCCATTATCATCCAGGTGGGAACATGGCAGCACCCAGGCAGGCATGGTACAGGAGGAGCTGAGAGTTCTACATTTTCATCTGAAGGCTTCTAGTAGAGTACTGACATCTAGGCAGCTAGGATGAGTGTCTTAAAGCCCACACCCACAGTGCTAAGCCTACTCCAACAAGGCCACACCTTATAATAGTGCTACTACTCCCTGGGCTGAGCATATATGAACCATCACAAACAGGAACAAAAAATGGAAATGAGACCGAAGGAAAGGCCATCCAGAGACTGGCCCACCTAGGGATCCATCCCATCTGCAGACACCAAAACCTGAAACTATTGCTGATCCCAAGAAACGCTTGCTGACAAGAGCCTAGTATGGCTGTTCCCTGAGAGGTTCTACCAACACCTGACCACTACAGATGTGGATACTCACAGCCATCCATCTGACTGAGCCTAGGGACCCCAATGGAAGAGCTAGGAGAAGGACTGAAGGAGCTGAAGGGGATTGCAACCCCATAGGAAGAACAATATCAACTAACCAAGAACACCCAGAGCTTCCAGAGACTAAACCAGCAACCAATGAATATACATGGAGGGATCCATGGCTCCAGATACATTTGTAGCAGAGGATGGCCTTATTTAATATTAAGGTCCTGTGGAAGCTTGATGAACCAGCGAAGGTTGATACTAAGAGAGGTGAGGCAGGAGTGGGTTAGTGGGTGGAGGAGCACCCTCATAGAGGCAAAGAGAAGTGGGGAAAGGGAGAATGGGATGGGAGGACTTGGGAGGGGTAACTGGGAAGGGGGATATCATTTGAAATGTAAACAAATAAAATGATTAATAAAAAAGGTTAAGTAATTAGAATACAACTTCTTTTTAAATATAAAGAGAATTTTGCATGTATTCTTCCTCTAGGGCAAGACTTCTTCAGCTTTTTTGTTAAGTTGATTGTTATGTGAACTGCATTTATAGAATTATTAAATTATAAT